TACTAGCTGGTTTATGCCTTCCCATCTCAATAGATGGAAGAGACTCTCATACCACTGGCAAAAGCAGCCATCACATTCTTCCTGGTAGCAAAGCAGTTTCCTTCCTGCTCTGTCAAACAAAGTCCTGTGAATTTTGAAAAACAAAGGAGCAGGATGTTTGCAATTGAACTTGATTTGTGAAGTCTACCTTCGTTCCATTTTTTTCATCAATCTGGATTGAGAAATCCATTATACTGTATAACAAATATAAATTACATATTGTATTGTCTTTCTGTCCCAACTTATCTCCCGAGTACTCATGGCGGGGGCGTCTTCCCTTATTTGATCTCTTTACTCAATATAATAAAAAATCCAACTCCACACAATAGCTCTATAATAATTATTCATAATTTGAGGCTTGAAACTACAACCAAATATTGGCAAAATCTCCACAGAAGTGGGATACAAGTTACTCTATCCACAGACACCCTCTCCATTCTCCTTTCTCAGACTGCCCTGTCCTTTTCTTGGTACAGAAATGCTTTAACTTGCCCAGCTTGTTAATATATGGAATACATTTGTTTTGTATCTGTTTGTTCATTTTTCTTTCACTCTTCTTCAGAATTCTTTGTTCTGTTTTAAAAGTAAGAAGTAACACAGAAAACACAGTTGCAATTCTACGTCCATGTCATTTTATTCAAACATCTAAAAACACCTTACAACTTTCTCTGAAGACTGAATTTAACAAGTTTTCCTTGCTGGAAGTCTGTCTCCTATATAATTCAGTTTTAAGATATAAAATCTATAAAAAAACTTATAACTTATAAACGTTATAAGTTGAAACTTTACAAAAAAAATTGTAAATAACTTTGTTGTTATTTATTCCTGATATACAGTACAGGTACGCTAAACCTGTTCTGATTTAAATACAAATTTGGATTAAAGACAGAGTTAGGGAACAGAACTCATTCTTTACCCAGGGACTGCCATATCGGTAGTCCTTGATTAATGACTGGTCACTTAGAGACCATTCAAAGTTATGACAGAGTCTCCAAAAGGTATTTATGACCTGGTTCCAAAGTTCTAACAGCCGCTGACACCCCCCCCCCCCGGTCATGGATGCATTTCAGGCACTCAGCAACCAGCCCACACCTATTGGTATTTACAGTGTCACAGTGACATGACTGTGATTTAAATTTTTGCCAAAAACCAGCATTTACTTACTTCTAGTGTTCAGCAAAAACATCCCACAGCAAATTTATTTATTTTATTTATTTATTTATTCGATTTATATCCCGCCCTTCTCCTTACCGGACTCAGGGCGGCTGACAGCCTTATAAAACAGATACTACAATAAATACCTAATTTAAAACCAAATTAAAAAGAAATATTACTATGGCCTATATAATTAAAATTTCTCTTAAAAACCCCACTAAAAATTCCCTAGGCCAATCCCGCCTGTTGGNAAACCAGGAAGATGATACAGGATAGCGAAGGAGTTGCTGGACCTTCAGCAAGCCAAAAGGCAGGCAAACAGAGGAGGCTTGAAGTGGTCTGTAGAAAAGAAGAAGCTGCATTGTAACCAAGAAATTAATGAGGAAAGATAATGTTGAAGGGTGCTATTGAGTGACTCACCCAGCAGAGACACAAAATACTGGTTGGGTTAAAAAAAAACTGATTGTGGAAGAGTCTGTGGGATAGCACAACTTGAAAGTGAAAGGAAGGGAGCCAGAGTGAATGCAGCAACACCTAACAATAAGCCACCCTGTGGCAGAGCCTGTGTAAGAGCTGGATTCAACAGACAACTGTTTGCATTCCTCAAACACAGCTGGAAGAGAAAAGCAGCATCGGAGAATTAGCACACAAAGTTAAAGCAAAGCACTAACGCACTATGTAAATAAACTGACAGGTTTAATAGGAATAAACCTGGGATTAGGAAGCTGGATAAAATAGCATAAGAGTAGCAAATAATTTGGATTTAAAGTTTTACTTTTGTAATTGTTGAGCAAATAAATCCTTGCAAGGCTGAAACAATTGTACTTGTGTCAGCACAATCCAAATCAACAGTGACGATAACTGTAGCCTCTTTTAGAAAATGCTAAAAATTCTCATTAAACCCTTTACATATTTAAGGAAGGGAATGAAAAAAAATTATAGAAAAATGAAGTAATAGTACTTCATTTTGTATTTTTCAACACTCAACATCTTCCAAGAAAATAAAAAGCATAAGAGAACATGTATAACAAATGTGTTTATTTAAAAAAGGACACCAGTAACAAGGGCAAAACATACAGGCAGCATTCTCAGCTATCTATCAAAGGTAAAAACCTGTCTCTCCAGCTTGTACTGAATTATAAAGTGTAATAAACTCCACCTGGTCAATACCGAATAATGTTTTAAAATCTATGAAGATAAATAAAAAATAAATCTTTATTTTTTTCTCAGAAAGTGAATCTAGGAAGTTATCTTCAGTAACTACTGAATTTATCAACTATTGCAGGGAATGCGGCTCATACCAAAACAAAATTAGGAGCCACCCAAAGTTAGCAAAATGGAGTCAGTAACATTTCCTGAAAAGTAGATAATGTTCACTAAAAAGATGTAACCTGAACAGATTTGGAAAACGGACCCTGCTTTTTACTTGAAAAAAAATAAATATCATGAGCAAAGGGCTAACAATTGGATACTTTTCTTAGTATAAAGAAATTCTTATTAAAAAGCATCACGGTATTGATTTTTTTTTTCAGGAGTGAGTTACACCCTTGCAGTTCTCCAACAACTCCTCAGATTTTTCCCCCCACAGAATAAGAAACACCTGTTGGTTCTAACAGCCACCAGATTCAGCGAGCTATTTAATTCAGCTCCAGTTGCATCTCAATAAAATAAGAATCTCAATCACGACAGCAAACACAACTAGGATCCGGACACCTATTTTTTAGCCCCACAGCTAACCACACCTAGATGGTTCTAGCGCTCCTCACACCTTGGAGAGGAGCAGAGATCCCAGACCAACTTCATTAAACTGCTGCCAAGATCAGCACATGTGTCTGTTAACACTACCAGGACAAGGAAAGCTGCACACTGGATGGTCCCTACCACAGTGTTGCAGATGGCTACTTTCCTTGTCCATCTGTAACAGCGAGTTCTGTTCTACACTATACCACGCTATTTAGAATATAAAACCAGAGATGGGGTTAAAGAGCTAAACGAGACATTGCTGTAGAACATTTCCTGTTCAGAGCCTTTAAATGAAAAGGCTGATTTCAGGAAGTCAGTACCAACGCTGTGAATGGAGAACGGCCCATGGTAACCTACAATAACATTACAAGCTTAATGAATGAAAACAAGAAGAACTGTACTAATATTCCACTCAGGATGAGCATTCTCAGGCAATTGAACAGGTACCTACAGAGAAGCTCAGCTATGATTTTTGTTTTTTCTTGGCTGGCTTGATTGGAGAAAGCTCTTCCTCCTGGTCAACAGATTCCTCTTCCTCATCACTGAAGTCATCATCTGAGAGATCTTTTCTGTGAACTGAGAAACAATTTGGCTTGATTATACCATCTAGAGCAGGGGTTCTCAACCTTTTTAATGCCACGACCCCCCAACCGGTCGTAAGTCGAGGACTAAACCGGTCGTACGTTGAGGACTACCCAACCGGTCATAAGTCGAGGACTATCCCTGCCCGGGAGCGCCGCGCATGCTTGGTTCCGCCCCCTGCGCCGGCCGAGGCGTAGCTGGCAAGCGGCAGAGACGGAGCAGGCCGACCACCAGCTGGCCCAGCCCAAGGGAGGTAAGGCACCCGCCAGAAAAGGGGGAAAAAAATGGCGGACAGCCTTGTTGGCGACCCCCGTGAAATGGTCGATCGACCCCAAATGGGGTTGCGACCCATAGGTTGAGAACCGCTGATCTAGAGCAGGGGTTCCCAACCGGGATGCTCGACGATATTCCAGGGGCTGCAAAAACATGGATTTTCAAAATTATAGTGTATATGCATAATTTGTTGCCGTTATTTCGAAATTTTGTAAGGGGTGCAAGAATATATCAGAAGTGTTCTAGGGGTGCAGGGTATAGAGGTTGGGAGCCGCTAATCTAGAGAATTCCTCAAGCCTCTATCCTTCCTAATACCCGTTAATTTCCAGAGCATCTCATATTTAGTAGTTCACACAATATCCTAAATGGTTTGCATTGCTCCAAACCAGAAGGCAGGCAAAAATGCCAGTCCTGTTAGACAGCAGGTCTCTTTTCCATGTAAATGACAACAATCAGCTTATACTCCACACCAGGAAAAGCTCCAGAATTTGCAATATTGACCATGCTAGCTGAGGTAGCCAAGACACTTAACCTGGAATTGTGGCCTCTACTCCAGGAAGAACTACTACTTTTCTATGTCCCTTAACTATTATGGCATGCTCGTTGTGCCCAATAGTTTCTTCCATCCCATTCCCAGATTCTTACAGATTTGATGTTGTCCTGCAAGATGAACAGGGCCAGATCCTGAGCGCAGACGGAAGGTCACGGGAGGCTGGAACTCAAAATTATTTAAACACAACTGTGGAAAAATAAGGAGACAGAGTAATCGTGAAACAAGATGAGTTTCTCCAGGTCTTATATAGTTCAACAGGTTTTGAGCTTTGTTACATCTGTGGCTATTTTTTGGGGGGGGGGGGAGGGTGTGAGCCATGACATTTTCATATAATTAAAGAGAAATACTGTGTTCCTAATTTGCAAATTTAACTCTTGTTAACACCTTTTAAACCAGTGCTATATATCCACAGTTATCCTAATGATTCACTAAGTATTGTTATCAAGCCACCTATTTAACCCGTTTAAACAGATAATATCTTGAAAACCATGGGTCCAGAAAGATTTTTTGATTAAATACCAAATATTTCATTCAGGATGAACATTCTTTGGCCTAGTCCAGGGGTAGGCAACCTTGGCTCTTTTATGACTCGTGGACTTCAACTCCCAGAATTCCTGAGCCAGCATAGCTGGCTCAGGAATTCTGGAAGTTGAAGTCCACGAGTCATAAAAGAGCCAAGGTTGCCTACCCCTGGCCTAGTCTAGAGAAACCACAGAAAGCAGGCTCTGGAAAATCTGGTTGTGCACCTCAAATCTTTGAATCATATCAGAGAGGCTATCCCAAGTATTGCCAATCGTGTTTGGAAGAGCAGAGAATTTTCCTTTCCTTATCAGGTCTTTCAAATCAACATCCTGGAACCATTGCACATTGATTTTTTTTCATGATATCCACATTCCCAAAAGATCATTTTACCCAGGGTTGGCACGACAGCTTCAGGTTGGCCACAGGCACAGTAACCTCCTTGTTCTGATAATCACGACCCACCACCTCCACAATGTTGCATTCATCTTTGGCACCCTCGGACAGACAAGCCTTGAAAAGGGGAGGAGAAACAAAACTGAAGAGGCATACTGAGGAAGGCCTAGCTAAGAATGAAATGAGCTCTAATGCTGAACATCCTCCTATAAGCAGTTGGAAGCAGGATCAGAACAAAATCATTCAGTAACAAATAAACCTGGAACAGAATCAAAAACAATAAATCAGTCAATTTGCAGGCTGTGTAATCCATCCCATTAAATCAATCCTGTAGCCTTCATGCACCCACCTTCAAAATCTGCTCAGGAAAGTTTGGGATGCTTTTGGAATACAGGGAGGTATGAGGAAAGGAAATAATACATTCAAACAGCACAGGATTTATATATGTCACTAAACTTCTTGCAGTAAAGTTCCCGTTAGTGCTATATTTACTGATTAAAAGAAGTATGCATAATTACAATACGCCTAGGAGATTCTGTTCTAAAAGCATAATTCTAGCTTTATACTTTTAAGCAAGTAACGTTTGGGATGACACAATCAGAAAAGGCAGCCTTCAGTGCAAAATATTTGATTTTCTGTATATGTACACACACACACACGTTGCATTCTGTGGCATAACAATGAAGAAAAATACAAAGTCTCAGAGCCATCTTGTCTAAGCAGGTAAATATTAAAGCAGCTTTGCCAGCAAAGCATTTTTATCAACTATATAAAGTGAACAGACTTTACTTCCATGTTGGCCACAGAAGATATGCAGTTTCATTCACTGTAATCTGCACAGAATTCTACTTTACTAACAGATATCAAAAATAAAAATGTTTAATCATCAGATATGACTATCTGTCCATCCCCTTTTCCATCAACTTTCTACATTTTCCCATTAGTTGTCTAAAAAGGGAGGTTTTTTTAGCTCTGTTATTAGGATAGGAATCAAGGAGTGTCAGAAGAACTAAGTGACCCATCATCTTCTCTCCAGCACCTTTTCATTTGCCTGCATGATTTCTTCATTATTTCTGGAAACTAAATGGGTTTTTAAATACTACTGAAGCCATAAAACAGTGAGGACAGGCTTTATAGTGCCCCAGCAATGGCTAGTAATGTTGTAAGTCACTAGCTAGGAAATAGCCTGTAACTAATCTTCCCATTTCAGAATGAAATCTCTTACCATATTCAGAACTAGGAAATGTTCTGAATCATCTTCTTCCGAGACTTTAAAAGTATAGGAACGCGCACTGCTGTTCAGCTCACATCCTGGAGGAAAAAATACAAGTGATTGTAACAATAAGGCATTTTAAAGAAAACCACAGATTTTTCTTACATGGAAGAGGTAAGTTTCTCCAACTGCAAAGATGCTACACATTTCAACTTCTCCCTCTGCAGAAGCCAAAAATAAATTCAGCATGATCAAAAGTTGAGACCAAAAGCTTTTGGTCTCTTAGCTGTGCTTGATTTCTGCTACCTCATGGAAATATCCATTTCACTTTTTAGGCAACAATATAAAAACAGTTCCTCACTGTCTTCTTCTGTGATGCTTTTTCAATGTGCTTTGTATTGATCTCTCCTATGTTTTCCCCAGCTTGAAAAGATAGGAGTGCTATATTTGATTCTAAAGCCAAAGGAATTAACAAGTATTTTTGATTTTCAGAATTAATAGCAAAATCTAGAGATTTTACTAATGATGTTTTAGTGTTATATAAAGGAACACATTTCTTAGTTGTTTGTTACTTCAAAGCCTCTGTTCAACAAAAGTATTTATGAAAAAAATTGGCGATAATTTTCAGCAATATGTTGCATTTCAAATCCTCTCCATCAACCTTTATAGAAACAAATTAAACCAGGCAGAACTATCTCTATTGCATATCAGTATTCCAGGCTGCGTGGAAAAAAAAACAAAAAAACAAGAGACGTTTTAGCAGCTTTAATTTTTAGTTTATCAATGTTACAAAGCCACGCTATGCAATTTCTCCAACATAAGAGTTGGAATTGAGCCTATGTGCTTATCCCTGTACTCAGTTCTGGGAAGTCCGGGGGAAGGGGGGGGATGAGGGGGTAGAGATATGCAAAATTTGGTGTATTAATATGTTATAGAATGTATTTTATTTTTTTTTATTTTTTTAAAAGAGGAGGTGCTCGATTAGCACCCCCAAACTGCATCTGAAGGATGAGGAAAGGAAGGAGGTGGGATGTGTAGGGTAGTTGAAAGAGAGGAGGTGCAGGTAGGAGGGGAGGAGGAGGGAAGTAAGTAGGAAGGATGAAAGAGGGCGGATGCAGGGGGGGGGGGCTGCCGAGCACCTCTGAAAATATGGTTATGTTCAATATGTTTTTTTATTATTAATGTACACCATATTTGTATTTAGAATTTGTTTATTTGAAAATTAATAAAAATTTGAAAAAAAAAAGAAAGAGTTGGAATTGAGCCCTGCATCCTGCCCTATGTAACCCGCATTAAGTTCCACCCTGCTCAGTGAGAGTTATGAAACATTTCGCAAGAGAGGAGCTGGAGAGCACGAGCTGAACCGGGACAGGGAAGCACGCGGGGCGCCCATGTGTTCAGCTTTCCAGCATAAGACCCGAAATACGGTTACTTTTCATTATGCAGTTCAATGCATCGTGCTAACATAATCATTAAAATCCTTATTCAAGGGATCCCAGAGCGATCAAATCCTCCCAAACGATCGCCACTCCAGGAGCAAATAATTTTCTCCCTCAAAGCGCCTGCACCCCCCCCCTCCTTTCACAAATATAACCGCCAGTCAAAATTTCCGGCCTGCGAAGTCCCCCCCCCCCCCAAACACACACACATCTTTACCAACCGAAAACGAAACGACTAGTGCAAATCGGCGCCGTAGCTTCACCGTCCATGCTCTCTAGATCCAAGAGAGAGGCCATGTCTGGCCAGGAAGCGCAGAGCAGAAAAGAAAAAGGACGGCAGGAAGACGCTCGTATGGTGCCCCGCCTGCTGCCCGCCCCGCCAGGGCCGCTCCAATCGGCGACGCAGCGTTTCTCCAATTACAAGCTTGTCCGCTCAGGAAGGGAAGGTTACACACGACCTTATTCATACAGTACAAATTGCAGAGATCGCGTGTCCCTCTGAGGTGTTTTACTATTTTTCTCTTTAAAAAAAAAACCAAGTAAGATACTGAAACTAAACTATGCAAGCGTAGAAAGGAAAAAAAAAAATCTAGATTGTCCCGTTGTGGGAAACAAATCTTTCCTCTGCTGAACATCTTTGCGTTAAGGCCCCATAATTGAAATCCAAAATTCTCTGAAAGAAAGGTGATGCATGGGAGGTAACTGATGGAAATTCTCTTGATTCCAATCCTTCCTTACCAATGAACAGTATCAGAATTTCATGTAGAGCTTACTAAAGGGAGTGTGAGCAAAGTTCTCACCGCACAGATCCTAAAGTCAGGTCATACCTGGTCAGAAACAGTTTGGGGAAACCTCTTGATTCCTATGAGTATGGAAAAGATTATAAAAGGGAGTTCCACCAATCCACATATCAGAGATACTGTTGTAAAATGGAGAATAGAAATAAAAAATCAAAATAATTCCTAAAATTACACACAATGAAAATAACATCGAAGGATTTGTTTGCCAAGGCCTCTTTCATCTTGGATAAAAATGGAATTCATGGGAGAGTAGCAAAGTGCAAGCAATTCCTTATTGAGAACATTGATGTTTGTCTTAGGTTTCACAAAAACCATGTAGATGACCCTTCAGACTTCTGGAGGAATGAGTCAAATGTGGAATTTTGGAGGCTAAATGGGTGTTGAACAAGCATCAACTAAGAATAACTTACCAACTATCAAGCATGAAAATAACACAGGTAGTCCTCAACTTACAACCAGAGCCCAAAATTTGTTAAGTGAGAAATTTGTTAAGTGAGTTTTGCCCCATTTTACAACTTTTCTTGTCACATTTGTTAAATGAATCCCTGAAGTTGTTAAATTAGTAACACAGTTAAGTGAATCTGGCTTCCCCATTGTCTTTGCTTGTTGGAAGCTAATAATAATAATAATAACGCAAAATATTATTGCAAAAGGTGATCACATGACCCCAGGACACTGCAACTGTCATAAATATGAACCGGTTGTTAAGCATCCAAATGTAAATCACGTGACCCTGAGGATGCTGCTCTGGTCATAAATCACTTTTTTCAGTGCCGTTGTAACTTCTAATGGTCACTAAATGAACCGTTGTAAGTTGAGGACTACCTGTACTGTGAAGCCAAACAACTTGTCCTTGCTTAACAAGATACAGTATGAATTCTACTTTGTGTCAAGAGACTTTTCCAAGAGAGTATGTAGCCATCTGTCTGTCAGCTGAAGCAAGATAGTAATTCCAAACATACAACCAAGTCTACGGGAGAATGAAGAAAAGCAAGCTCAATGTTTGGAATGGTCAAGATTTAGTCCTAAACCCAACAGAAATGTGGCAAGAACTGAAACGAACAATCATGTTATAAAACCCTGAAATATGATTCAGTTGAAGGAGTTCTCCATGGAGAAGCAGGCCAAACTTTCTGTAATGTGAAATCTAGGAATTTCAGACTGTCAAACTTGACATCTTTATTGGACATGTGCTGAAGTTGATTTAACATATAAAAACAGATGCCCTTGAATAGAGATGCAACAATTAACAAAAGCCACCATGGGCTTGTCACAAATAAGTCATTACTCTCATTTTCTTATAATTATCTTAAAAATATATGGGAGGAGTGCCATGGCATAATATTGAGCCGAGTCCACAGGGTTCTCTGCTAATTAGTATTTTGAACAACCTAGATGAAGAGATTGTGGGAATAACGATCAAGTCTGCACATGATAGAAAACTAGGAGTAACTAATGCTTTATTAGTTACTAGGAGTAACTAATGCTTTATTTTTCATTTGTCATGCAGTGATTAGGATGCTCTGAAAATAAGAGAAATGAGGAAATGTGCTTGAAAAAATATTAAGAGATAAAAGCTCCAAAAGGATTAAGATTTCTTTTGTTTTGCACTTTCTGTGAGGAAAAGGAAAAGTGCCCAAGAATAATTCCTTAGGGAAAACAGAATGCAAAAATAACAATTGTCTACATTACTGTATGAATAAGAGTGAATACTGATACCTCCCAATACAGTTCCTAAATAATAGCCTATATATACACCAGCTGCATATTAGACTACATGATCTAGTCAAAACTTGGGGGAATTTTGACAGTCCAGATGCTTCAAGCAGGGAGTACATTATCTCAGTGTTACCTTCTGCTATTAGCAGTCTTACATTCCTAAAGATCATCTATTGAGGCAATCAAAGTTTCCCTTCTCAGAAAGAACTTTTGAGATAAGAGTATATAGCATCATGGCAAGAGATTTTTTTTCCTTCTGTGTAGTTTTGAAAACTGATAATGTTCATCTTTGGCCTTATTACCTTGTAAAGGCAGTGGCTGTGCTGAGCCGGAGATTTGCTGTTTTGGAGCAATTTAAAAAAACAATTAAGATCAGCGATGCAACTTGGCGCAGGCAGAAAAATCGGCTCACAAAGGACATTTCGGAGATATGATTGATTTTCTAGCTATGAAGAGTTGGGGAATGGAGTTTGTTAAATGATCTATTTCTAGCATTTTATTTATGTGCAGTAAAATCAAAAGGATTATTACCCCAATTAGATTTCCTACTAGCTGGTTTATGCCTTCCCATCTCAATAGATGGAAGAGACTCTCATACCACTGGCAAAAGCAGCCATCACATTCTTCCTGGTAGCAAAGCAGTTTCCTTCCTGCTCTGTCAAACAAAGTCCTGTGAATTTTGAAAAACAAAGGAGCAGGATGTTTGCAATTGAACTTGATTTGTGAAGTCTACCTTCGTTCCATT